TGGGTGGTTGTTATTCCTGGCCTTCCAACCTGACAATCACAGAGACACGGGGGGGGATGGTGGTTAAAAAACATAAAGATGGCAGCCACAACACCACGAGTGAAGTCCCAAACTGCAGATCTAATCACATTATCAAAGCTGCCATCTTAATTTTTTTTTTTTTTACACCCCCCTCCAGCCAACACCCCTGGATCATCACCAACCTCTGGTAGGAAACCACACTGAAAGCAGAAAAACATAAAGAAGTGTATTGGGTTTTTTTTACTTCTACCACCAAGAACTTTGTTTTAAAAGTTAACTTTACCTTTGAGTCCTGTATACAATGGTAATTATTGCAAAAGTGATCGATGTGAGTAAGCCGTAGTCTAGTCCCAGAAAAACAGAAGCTAGAAAAGCTACGATCCAAATTGCCTAAAAAGACAAAGAAATGAAACACCCAATCAGCAACATACAGTCACTGCTTTTCAACACGACGATCTGGGCTTCACATCCTTAGGTGGTAGAATTAATAAACTGCATCTCCATTTCCACACGAGGCAACTACACTGAATAAGCCAACTAGAAGCAGGCTTCCAATTTTCTGAAATTTATTTCCCTAAAACAAAGCACGACTCCTTCCCTGATCCTGCCACACTAAGCCAAAAAAACTCAACCACAAACCACGTGAGGATTCTCACAGGCCCTGGAGCTTCACTCTTCTTGAATTGCTTGATTCTCACATTGCGGCTTTTCCCTGTGCAACACAACGATGGCGGAGGAATGCTGCACTGCTGCATCTAATTAAAAATAGCTGAGAAAAACTGAAGAAAAATGCTGATGGGCATTAAATCACTCACCAGTTCAATCCTGCTGGTTCTCCAAAAGTGGGCAATATCTCCAAATTGTTTGAACATGCCTTTCAGATTGACCATTACAATTGCTGCCAGCACAGTCTAGGAATATAATTTGAGAACAGTATGATTTTCCTCTGAATTCATTTAAAACCGTGCTGCTTGAGAAACATTCCAGGCATCTATCTATAGGCATGTATTTTTAAAAGAAAATTCAAAACATAACAAGAATAGACGTTTAGGTAAACAACAATACTTTGATCTTCCGGGCACACGTTTCTCAGAAACTAATGAGATGTTTTTATGATAATTGCCAGCAATATGTTTTGGCTGTCTACAGCTGGCAGTGTTCCTAGTTTTTCTCTTTTAAAAGTTAGCCTAAAACTTACTCTTCCTGCTCTCTAAGATCTGATGAGAACAATACAATAAATATATTCATTGTAATTAAGGATATTCAGAAAGAATTTTAGAAAAAGCCGGTGGTATTTAAGGAGAGTCACCAGAGAAAAGGATACAAGATAAAATATCCAATAATTATCCAAGATGTGGGTAATCAAGCTCTGAGACTACCAAGCAGAAAAAAAGCTATGCTTAACAGACACAGATATTATGGTTTAAACAACTGGAGTTTTAATTCTGCTGATTTAGACATATGGAGATCACTTACCTGTGGCAAGGGTGCAAAGAGGTAACCAATGGCAATAATAACCAAGAAAACCATGATTGAGGACAGAGTACCCGCAATCTGTACAAAACACAGATAAACATTTTGAGTAAGAATAAGGACTAGGATGTATCAGCTTCTCAGATGAACTTTTGCTAATAAACCTGACAATTTTAAGTATTAATCCCATATAGTATAGATCTGCTGGGCTGGAAAAGTTGGGTGCTATAGTTTCAATACATCTGTTGGACACCAAGTTTGGAGAGCAGTTACAGACATTCTGCTGGGAATAAATGTTAAGAACCAGGGGGAATTATCTTGGAGCTCTCACTAAAAGATTTCAGTGGAAGTTACCCAACATAATGTGGATAAGAGGATACCCTTTAATGGGCCAACTAGGTACCCTATCTTACTTTCCTTGACAAAAGGGAAAGATATCAGATAAAAATAGATATTCTTCATACCTGAGTCTTTCCTCCAGTGCCTTCCTGAACAAGACTCCGAGACATTGAGCAAGTGACAGCAAAAGTCTGGAAAAAGGATCCTGTGGAATTACAGATACCTAATGCAATAAGTTCCTGGGATAACATAAAGGGGAAGAGAAGAGAACTTATAACAAATACTGTTAAAGAGAATCACATATGGTAGCATTATAGATGAATATTGATTACTAAATAAGAAACCATTTTACAACTGGAGGAAAACAGACATTCAGTGGCATCCATGGGGTGGGTCAAAAAGGCAAAATGGAGGTCACAACCTTTTGGGGCAGGATTTCAGTCATTGGCCATGACCACTATCCTACCTCTTCTGATACCTCCTGTGGATCCCTCTACACACATTTACTTATTCTCAATAGTGGCAAAATTCCTAAATGACAATTCAAAATGGTTATAAAGCTGAAAGGTCTGCAACACATTGTGAACAACCTTCCACGTACAGTTCCTCCTCTACCAACAGTCTAATGAATGGACCATTGAACAAATCAACCCAAATCAATTCTCACTCGATGCACCAGGCTCAAATTATCCTAAACTTTGGACTCATTATGCAAAGACTTAGCTCTCTGGAGAAGGCTCTAATGCTGGGAAAGGTGGAAGGAAAGAGAAAAGGACAACCAGCAGCAAGGTGGACAGACTCAGTTATAGTGGTGAGGACTGCACTGTTGGGAGTCCTGAAAGAACAGGTTAGGGATAGATTGTCTTAGAGAAACCTATCTATGTGATTGCTAGGAATCGAAAACAACTTGATGGAACATAATCAATGAATCAATGATGAAATGGGATGTGTAGTGTAACCAGAACTATCTAGTGAACATCCCCTCTTGCTAACTCACAGGATTCACTAGGATGAGTCAAAACAACACCCTACTGGGAAAACACATTATTGGTTGCAGTCTTTTATCCAGATCACAAGTAGCAAACACTAGGTCGCAATTACATTACCTGATTTCCATCAACTGTATAGCCATGCTTAAGAGCAAAGATTTTAGCCATTGAGATAGTCATGGAAAACCCAACAAGAGCTATAGCAACTGCATCGACAAACACTCTTGAGATGAGGCTGACATCAGGTATTCGGGGAGAGGATAATCTATAAGCAGTGATGAGAAAAAAAATCAGTTATATTAAATTTTGAGGCCCTAAGAATATACCTTCCTTATACCTTAACCCTTATCCTTACCCACTGGGAATGTTCCCAACAACATCAACGTCATACGTCTTGGAAAGACTCATTCCAGATGAAACTCCAGTACCAATGACCACCTTAAAAACACACAAAACAAAAAAATCATAGTTCAAATAGAACTTCCAAAGAAAAGTTGGGAAAGGGAACTGTTTTTACCTTTATCTGCAGAATGAACATTTCAATTATGGTTTAAGACCTACCACAATGATCTCCATTGGAATAGGAACCACCAACTTCTTCTTAAAGCGATCATTGATTTCTTTGCCACTCAGCAACAGCACTATGCAAATGAGTCCAACAACTAAAGTGGCCAAGTTGGTTTTGGTGATATTAGAAAACACAGCAATCAAACTCTGCAAGACAATACAGTATAGAAAGATAACCAATTAGGTCTACAGGATTACTATTAGGGTTATCCAATGCTTTGGATGCGATCCAGAGACCTGTCTGTGGCTTGGGAAAGCAATGACATGTTTTGGGGACTGCAACAGGAGCAATCTGATGCCTTCCAGAGGGTTATGATGACCACAACTCCCACATCCCTTTGCCATTGACTGTGTTGTCCAAAGCAAGCAGGAAGCAAAGGGCTAAACAACTGAAGTCTACCAGGTTGCCTATTCCCATCGGCCAGGAACAGCCTAATACATGAAGCATCCTTTTATAAACATACTTACATAAAGAACAGAGAGGGGACCACTGAATCGTTTGATATTAATTCCAAGCAGATACTTCAACTGAGACGTAAACACGTGTACAGCTGCTGCAGTTGTGAATCCACGTACCAGAGGCTCCGTGAGATAAATGGCTACAAATCCAAAACGTAGGAATCCTAAACACAACTAATAGGAAGAAAACCCACATTCTAGGAACAGTCATTGTCATCAGTTTTGGTTTTTAAATAACTGCAAAGGTACAGGCTCCCCCCCCCCTTTCCTTGCAAGAAAATAGGCAGATGTTTTCAGTCATAGGGTACAAGAAGCTATATGAAAATATTTGATTAATGAGAATCCTGGCCAAGAGATGCCTCTGCATATATATATAT